TACCTGTAAGATCTTAATTCCAAGAAGCAGTTTAATGAGGCTTTCACAATAGGAGTGCACCAGAGTCCTGCAAGATGAAAGATCCACCACAGTTGTAATAAAAACATGTTAGGAGAATAGGCTGTAACTCTCTCAATTACTGTTTGTTTTGTTTTTTGTTTTGTTTTTTAAAAAATACACTTATAATAACTTAGGGCAACATAGTTACCACAGACACACACAAAAAAAATTTAAAACTGCACTTCAGCTCTGAACAAGTTTACTCTCTTCAGGACTAGTGCAAGCTGGAAACACAAAAGCCTCTCTGGTTAAGCAGTATCTCCTGGGAAAAAAACTGTCAAAAAAAGTTGACCTTCACCAACCTTGTAAATTATTTTTTTTTCCCCATAGTATTTGGCTCTTGCCATAAAATGCCACGGAGCTCAAAGCATGCCATAGGCAGCTAGTCAATTCCATGATTTACCTCTTTAAACTTATTGCTATTAAATATCAGTGTGTTTCACCAGCCACTTTTACATAAGACACAAGTCTTGTTGTATATCAGGTGGAGCTGTGGCCTTTCCCTCCACTCTGCTCAGTGCTACATGACATTTAACTAGAGAAGATAGAAGGCATTTTCTCTGACCTCGACCCCTCAGTCCGTACAGGAGCACATGGCAGGAGACAGTTCTTGAACTGGTTTCTGTCCTTGATGTGAGATTCCAAGCCGCTGACAAACTGTTTCACGACCTGCAAAGCAGAGGGAAGTTACCCACATCCTGAAAAAACACCCAAATCAACTGCTGTCTTTTCAGATGTCCTTCATGAGCAGATTATGGTCTTTGTCGCTTGAATAATATTGCCAATTAAATGCTTTGACAGGGCAGAGTGATGGAAGTGCAGAATTTTTGCTTGGAATTGTGCTAATCCAATCTTGGAACACGCAGCCCAAGGCTGGGTTAACAGAGGCACAGCCTAGCCATCTTTTTCTGACTGTTCAGAAGTAATAGCTGAGAAGACAGATGTAGCAGGAGGTCAAAGGGACATAAAAGGCTGCAAAGGCAACCTTGAGATATTTAGAGAATCTGGACCACAGAAATCCAAGCTAAGCTACTGTGTTGCATACTGTTGTATAGAACTAGCAGTGACAGGCAGCTGCATTTGCATCTTTCACTACACAGCAAACAGTTTGAAAGCTGGGTCCTGCCGAAGCACAGCTCATCACTTACGTCTGGGTAAGTCGGGTGCTTCTCCAGAGCCAGGCAGAGCTTCTTCTGGAAAGTTATTTGATCTACAGCTAAGGAGAAAGTTTAGAAAGAAAATAAAGACCCAGACATATTTTATCCACACAGCATCATAACAACAGCTATGTTAAGTACAAGCTCTTATGCCCATCCATTGATACATCTGCATCAGCTTCACTGAGAAGTCCCATCAGCAAAAGCCTGAGTGGTTTCACCACTTGGGGTTTCTCCAGTCTGGGATGAGAGTGGCTAAAAGCACTAAAAAGGCTTAATGCTGAAGGTCTTGCCAAACCTGAAAGGCAGCAATGACATATTCATTTTCCTGTTTTACAGCTCCTGCCTCTGTAACTCTACACTAATACACTAATCACATATGCAGTCCCATCTTATTCCACGTACCCCAAATAATCTTTCAAAATATTTTTTACTTACCATGCATACACCCAAAAAGCTGGTACAATGAGCTTAGGAGCTGTGCAAATCAAGAAGTATATTAAAAATAAGAGACCAGAGGAAGTTTGGAACAAGCTAGTTCAAGCATTTTTGCTCTGCAAGTAAAATGCATCTTCATACCAGACATCTTTGCAGGTTTTCAGAATAAAGCAGAGAAGAAGTGCTAAACCCATACCTATTTCATTCTGTCCCTCCCCAGATTTCAGTACAATTCCTGATGTTCTAAGGAGCTCTTCAAAGACTCCCTCATTCTCCACTCCACTGTAGGCAGACGCTTTTTCCTTATCAGAAATCCTTGACTTCTTTGTTTCTGAGAAAACAAGACACGATACCTCAAATACTCCACAATAATAGCAAGGATCCTTCATATAAAAAACTAACTCAAAATTAACCTTCAAATAAGAAATTGGAGGAACCCAGGAATACACTGAAGGGACCAGACCAACAAACAGTACTGCTGTTTGACAACAGTCATTAGCCAACTCAGATTCCAATGTGCAGATTCTACAGAGCAGCTACCACTGTGGCATTTCTTACTCACTCCTTTTAGTGATCCATGAGCACAGACACTTAAGATACACCTCCAGTGGTTTGCTCCACTAACAGTCTATGGGCAACACTAGAGCATATACTTTCCTCTGCCCTGAAAAGCACCAGCTGAACACAGGTTCTCCCCACCAGACCTGTCTCCATCTGCTGAGGTGAAAAATAACTATCTTCCCTCCAGCTACATAGAGACGTTATTTTGGTTTGATTTATAGAGATGATTTTTGATCAAACGTGATGAATCTGCAGACTCTGAAAGCAGGGAAGCTCACAATGGTAAACACTGATCAAACGTGTGAGAAGAGAGGGACTGAGAGATGATATGGCACTGAATCCAGGATTGTGGTTTTACTGTGATTGTACAGTGTTTAAAGATCAACAACACCATTAACAATTAGAATTATCAAAACTACCATTTTGCCTGGGAGCTGCCGAGTTTATCAACAGGTCTCCATTCCACATATAATTGATTATACCTACTTGGCAAGCCTGACATGCAGATCTCTCCAGAAGCATCAGCTTTTGACCGTTTCCTTTTTGAAAACATGGTAACAAAATCTTTGTTGTCACCTATAAAAATACAGAAAAAAGACAAGTGAGGAAAGGAGATGTTACTTGAATTCAGTTTTTTTAGCAAATCTAAACTATTTTAGTGAATGCTGAAGAGAAATGCTCCAGAAATTGAAATACCCTAAGAAAGGCAGACTGCCTGGTAAACCCAATACCACACCACATTTTTCTGCTGTACAGGTTCAGATTTTAGAGCTTGTCAGATTTAAACAGTGTCATACATTACTTTTTCTACAATTCAGTTCCTCATAAGACTTAGCTTTTCTTTCAGATGCCAGGCAAATTAAATGGCAAGTTGAACTGAGTAACTGAGAGGTCTCAGATTGCTTTCACTGATCTAAATTTGTGATCCTCTTCTCATGCCCAGAGAAAGCTCCAAAATATCAACAATTTAGCATTCACAAGCACACCCATGTTCCTAGCTCAGTACAGCTTCAAGGAGAGTTCAATCAGCACAAACTTCTCCCCAACTTGTTCTCTTTTGGTGGGTGGCAGTGACTAAAATTAAAACTTAAACTTTGAAAAGATGCCTGATTATTTCATCTTTAATTCAACTATTTGGCAAGGCGTTATTAAAAGGAGTTAAATAAAACCCCAGAGGTGACGCAGAACAATTAAAACCCGAAAAATGTGATGAGCATTTAGAGCTGGACCTGAGGCACAGACTGACAGGCCCAAGGCAAGCAGTCCCAGAGAGCCCTCTCTTTGTTATACCTACTTCCAAAGGCTTCTAAGTTCCTGTGGCAGCCCACACACCTCACCGCACGCTCACAGGGCAGGACGGGCACCTCAGTTTCACACCCTCCAGCTCGGTCACACCAGCTCGCACGGCCGGGAGAGGCGCGCGGGGCCCCGGACCCGGCAGCCGCGCTCCAAAGCCGGTTTCACGCTCTCAGGAACAAGCCCAAACGCGGCTCAGAACCCCAGGCTCCAGGCCCGAAGCCCCAGACCCCCCCACC